CCCCCCAGCCCCCCAGCCCACCGGATCTAGCAGGCGCTTGCCTCCGCTTTCTCTTGCCCCGACCTCCGACAGGCAGTCTGAAGGCGCAAGTCCCAATCCCCTGACCCAGCGAAACCTAGAGGGGGACAGGGGGAACGGACCTGACGTCGTGGTAGCTCTCGATGAGCGTCACCAGGTGCCGCTGGATGTTGTCCTTGTACGTCTCGCCCAGGATCTCAGACATGCACGGAATGGCCTGGTCCAGCCACGAGGCCTCCGAGCCCTGCGGGGACAGGGAGGCGCCTGAGGCCCACACCGCCGGGGCCCCGAACGCCCCGCCTGGAACCCCCCTATGAGTGCACCTTTCCGCCTGCATGCGGCCACCACCGACCCCTTTTGCCCCCTGTGACCGCCTCCCTACAGCAGAGCGCGACGCGGGCTTCGTCACTGAGGACTCAGCTGCCACATAAGAAGTCCCCATCTCCCCTCCCCAAGATCCAGCACACAGAGGTTTTTCCTGACTCTGCGTCGATGGGGAAACCGAGGCTCGGGCCAGGAATCACACAGCAAGTGGGGGGCCAGCAGCCCAGATGAGGCTATGTGGCAGGATGGGGGCTCAAATCGAAGGGCAGGGTGGGGGAGTAAAGGCGTCCCATAGCCCCCATGGGGGGGCTGCGCCTGCAAACTGCATGTAAAAGTTTGTGAAGTACTGCCGCCGTCCCCCCCAGCCACGTCCCTGTCCTGCTCCCCTCTCTAATCAGAAATGAAGATGCCGCGCTAATGCCGTGCTGCAGGCAGGCGTTTCCAAGCTGAAGTGAGTGCCCCGCGGCGGTGACCGCTGCTCCTACCAGGCCCTGGAAGGTGTCGCCAATGGCCTGGGCATCGAGGCTCATCTTCTGGGAGCCAGTCACGCGCTCGACGCCCCGAAACCGCTCGCGTGGCCTCAGCACCTGCACCAGGTACTCACGGACCACGTAGCGGTGCGCCTCGTGCAGGATCTCCTAGTGGGTTGGGGGTGGGAGGTAGGGTTAGCAGGGCAGCACCCCCAAATTCCGACGTGGGCACATCCCAGCCAGGACTCGCCCCCTTGCGGTACCTGCGCCCGCGTCGGAACCACATGCTCGAGGTGGCGGCCAAAGGCCACCACCTTGTCCATGAGGGGCTGAAGCACGTCCTGTGTCAGCCAGGCCTTGGTGCACACGGCCCTGAAGAGCGGCTGGGGGTGGGAAGGGGGGCAGGAGTCTTGAACCGCGTCCTGCCCACCCACAGACCCTCCCCTCAACCCTCCCTTTGAAGCCCAGTCCGCAGCTCCTAGTGGGAGTATTTCAGGCCCAGTGACAATCTGTTACCAGGAAGGAACTTTGGTGGGCTACCTGATGCCCTTCTCTACCAGGTTGTCTGGTGCCACTTACTCTCAAGCCATGAATTACATCACTAGGCCTTTGCCAAGAATGCCTTCTCCAGGCCAGGCGCGCCAGCCCACAGGGTTTGAGTGGAGGTTCTACCCAGGCCCTGCTTAGGGTGTGCCCTGGAGAGGCTGGGGGAGGGGCCCAGGCCTGGCTCCCTGGACCCACCATCCTGGGGTTGGGTCTTGACCACTGAGAGGTGCAGACTGAAGTGAGAAGGTGAGCACATCCCAACCGACCCTGTTCAGCTGGGTCCCCTGCTCATCCTGACAGACACCCCCCCTTAAGCTGCCCCTGGGAGGAAGCAGGTGCTGTGACCTGGGCCCACAGGCTCCAGGGCACAAGGGCACCTGCTGGACATGGGAAGTGAGGAGAAGGAGGCAGGCCTGAAAGGTGGTGAGGGAGCACCTGACCCCCTCACCTGCACATCACTCTGAAAACCCTGCAGTACACGCTTCTGGAAGCTGGAGGTGGTAGCTGCCAGGGGCTTCTCCAGTTCCTCAAAGGTGCCTGGGAACCTGGCCAGAAGACTGGTCCTGAGGAGGGGCCGGGACAGGTGAAGTGGGGGGTGAGGGAGAGGAGGCTGGGGGGACAAGGCCCTAATTGCAGCCACAGCCATGCAGCCTGGGCACCACAACTCCATTCACTTAGACTGTAATGTGAAGGGCAGTCCCAGGGGTTGCACAGTGTAGCAGCCCTGGAAGCAGAGTCACAGGAGGGGACCGCATCAAAGGCCTGGGAGCCAATCATGGAGGGCTCAATAAGCAGGGTGGTGGTGGCCCCACCCCATGGCCAAGCTCCCCTCAGGCAGCTCTGGGCTGAACCCTCTTGGTGGCAGGACAGGGCAGCACGCCATGCCTGGCATAGGTGGGGGTCTCCTCTGAGCCTCGTAGTTAACTCCTCTGAAAGTGATAACGTTCCCATTTCACTGTTGAGGAAACTGAGGGCCAGGCTGTGCGCAGTCCCCATAGCCCAGGGGCAGGCTGAGGTTCACTCAGGCTGGGCCAGAGGCTGCCTACCCAGGGAGGCTCCCTGCCTGAGCCAGACAGGGCAGGGAGTGCTCCCTCCGCCAGGAGCTAGATCTGGCTGAACCCCCAGGGTCCCCAGTGCCTGGCATGCCACCCCCAGGCAGGGTGGGGAGTGCTGCCTGGGACAGTGCCACCCTCAGATGGGATGGGGACCACTCCTGTGCCAGGGGCTGGGTCTGGCTGAACGCCCCGAGTCCCCAGTGCCCAGGACTAGCCTGGCACTGATAGGAGTGAGAGCGCATTGGAGAAGCGGTGCCTGGTTGTGGTCATGCTTTGGACGCTGGCAGGCCTGGTTCAAATCCCATGTCCACCACTTATTGGTTGTGTGACTGTGGGCAAGTGACATTTCTTTTCTCATCTGTAAATGGACTAACTGCACTCATGAAGTGGTACCAGGTGTGTAAGGCGCCAGCACAGTGTGGGCACATCACCAGTGCTCACAGAGAGTGAACGTCACCCGAGTTCTCGGAGGCTCTGATCCCCATTTGATAGATGAGGAAACAAGGCTAAGAGAGGTTAAGTGACTTGTCCCAGGGCACAGAGCCACTAAGTGGCAGAGCCTGGACCTGAACCCAGAGAGGGTGGCCCCAGAGTCCATGACCTCAGTGACTGGTGTGCCCACAGGGGGTAACACTGAGCCTTGGCCTGGGGTTGAGGACACAGAAGGGGGGCAGCCACCTTTCAGCCCTCAGGGAGGGACTTCTGGGAGCAGACAGACTCAGACCCCCAGCATAGCCCAGGGTGGGGTGTCAGGGAGGGCTTCCTGGAGGAGGGGATGTCCCTGAAAAGGAAGGAGAAGGCGGCTGGGATAAAGACAGGAAGGAAACTGAACGAACCCAGAGTGCAGGGCCGGACTGGATGCGTAGCGGACAGGGACTGGGGCGACTGGAACTCTTCAGCCTTTGCTCAGCTTTGAAACTTTTCCCCCATCCCCTCCCAGGCCTCAGCTCCGCTGCCCATTAACGGGGCGGGGCGGGGGCTGAACCGGCAGGTGCCTGGAGACCTCCCGGGGCGCATGCCCCGGTCCTCACTCCGGGAGGGGACCAGCCCCTCAATGCCCAGGTACAGGCTCCTCTTTCCCTTGCGCGTCCCACCCGCGCGAGCTCACACACATAAGAGTGCGGAGCTGCACGCTGGCCGCCCCACTCCCGCCACTGCGGGACCAGTCTGCGTCCCGGTTCCCGGAGCTCGCTCGCCCCCTGCTGGCCTCGCCGGGCACCGCCCCTGCGGAGAACCAGGAGGGAACTTCGGGACGCCTGGTGCCCAGACCCACCTGAGCTCCTCGCAGGCGTTGATGTAGGCGCCCAGGTGCGGCTCGCTCACAGCCTCTGACTCCAGAAAACCCTTTTCAAACCTGGGGGTGCAGTACGCAGAGTCCGTCGGGACCCTGCCTGGCCGCACAGTGGCCCCGGCTCGGCCTCCCCGTTGGTCTCCATCTAGCCACCGGCCTTCTGCTGGGGCCGTTCCCGTCCACCGGCAGGGCGGAGGTCTCGGACTCTGAGCTAGCGGGATGGGGCTCCCGGGACGCCCGCCGCCCACACGCGGCCCCTGGCCGGCAGAGGATGCGCCCGTACCTGGGCACGAAGAGGCCAAGCGCCTGCGCGCAGATCCGCAGGGTGGTGGCCTCCAGCTCTGCTGAGATGGCACGGGCCGCCTTCACATGCTCGGCCACGAGCTGCGAACGGCGCACAGCACTGAGCATGCGTCCGAGTCCCCGATGTCCCCAGTCCCTCACTTAGTGGCCTGGCGACGTCCCCAGCCTGTCCCGTTCTGCCTCACGGTCAACCTTCCCAACTCCCCCACAGGTACGCCAAGCTGGGAGCTGTGCGCCGCTGTGGCCCTGGGTTCCCAATTCCGCCCCCCTCGTCAGGGTCCTGTCTACCGGGAGGGGAGGTTAGGAATGGGCTTGACAAGTCGGTGTCCCCACCGCGTGCCTGAAGTCCGAGCATATGCCCCCTCAGCCCCGCCGGGCCGCACCATATGGACGTCGATGGACAGCGGCGAGTGGTAGCGGCCTTGTAGCACGTCCGGGGCCTCAGCGGCGGCCCAGCGACTCTGCTCCATCTGCAGGATGCCTTCAAAGCAGCTGGCGATCTTGGTCTGAGAGGGGGTAAGGGCTGTAGTGAGACCCTCCCGGGCCCTCCCTGCCCTCGGGGTGAGGGCCGCCTTGCAGGGGAAAAGGCCCATGCTCGAGCCTACAGGGTGGAGGTGGCTCCAGCCCAAGTCGAGGCCTGCACCTAGGGGCGGCCTGGGGTAGTGCACCATCTTTCCCTGCCGGCATTCCTGGCACCGAGCCCAGGGAGCGGGCCCTGCCCCGCCCCTCCAGCCCGGCGCCACCCTGCCTCACCTCAACGAAGCTGGTATAGTCCGTCTCCAGCTGGGCCCACACTTCGGGTGCCAGGAGCGGGGGCAGCGGCTCCGCGGGCAGCGCCAGGTCTGGGGTGCCCAGGAAGTCAGGACTGGAAGGCAGGGCCACAGCCTGAGGGCCTGGGCAGGGCTCCCATCCAGCAAGGGGCAGCGGCTGCCCCTACTCCCCTGGGCCTGGCCCCCAGCCTGAGGCCATCACTGCAGGGTCCTAGAATCTGGGCCTCTGTTCACACACACACATACACCCCAGGGCCTACCCTCCAAGCTTCTTTGCCTCTCCCCGGAAGTTTCTGAATGCTCAGTTTCCAGGGACTCTAGCAACAGATGGACCTTGGCCAACTGCTTTGGTCACGGTGGGGGTACACCCAAGACTGGGCTGTAAGCTTCCCCTACTCCAGCACCACACAGCTCGGGAACCTGCGGCCAACTAGCCCACACCAGGGAGCCCCAGAGAGGGACAGGTACCTGCATGGGGCCACACAGCAAGTGGAGGGGAGCCTGGGCCTTTTGAGGACCCTTCTCCCACAGACACCCTTGTGGGGCCAGGCAGCACACAGCTCATCTCGCCCTTCACAGGGGTGCAAACTCCCAGCAGGCTGTGCCCAGCACCCAGGTGCCACCCAAAGGGGTGAGCAGCTGTGAAACAACCCTCACCAAGCTCTGTGATCCTGAGGCTGTGTCCTGCCTGGAGGAGTGCCTTCTTCTAATCTAGTGAAAGGCACTGCCGGGATAACACAGGCCCTCTAGCTGGTACCCCTGCTCCCTGGGAACCTCGCCTGGGACATTTTCTACCTTGGGGAACTAGGTTTGGTGGCCGCTTAGGAAAACCCGGGGCGAGGGCTCACCACAGCCTTCCATCTGCCCCCATGCCTAGGGCGTGGAAGAAAGTTCAAAAACCCCTCAGGCTCTCCGCGCCCAATCACCAACTTTCTCCCAATGAGGAAGTGAAAAGGAAGGTTGCCCTGTGTTCCCAGAGCTGTTCCAAAGGCCTCCCCCAGCTCGCCATGCCGGGGCACCCTGGCCTGCGACCTCACCTTCCGTAGACATTGACAGCCCAGTCCAGGAGGACGTAGAGCTGCTCGAAACCGCGTGCCTCGCGCGCCAGTTCCTGGAGGCGCTGGGCCACCGCGCTGTGGAAGGCGTGCAGGTAGGCCTCCCACGCCGGGAAGCCGGCGGCCGCGTATACAGGCTGCACCTCCAGCCACACCTTCTGCAGGTCGCGGCGGACCAGGCCGCCGAGCTCCGCTAGAAGGCGGGCCAGGTCAGATGGGCCCTCGTTGTCCCCCGGGGCCTCCCCGACGCCTGCCTGCTGCACACGCTCCTGCGCGCTCCGTCGCACGGCGTCCTCCCAGTGCTGGCGCCAGTGGCGCGGGGTGCATAGAAAGTCGCCGTCGGCAGGGGGCTCCGGGTGGGCCTCCTCCTCTGCGCGCACCACGGGGGCCAGTTCGGCGAGCGCGGCCGCGTCCACGCCATCCGGGCCCAGCGTCTCGCTGACAATGGCGCCGATCTCGGAAGCCAGCCGGTCGTAGTGCAGGCATACATCCATGGCGCGCCGCGCGAAGTCGGTGGGGTCCTGCTCGTAGGCGCGCGAGGCCTTAGCGGTCACCAGCTGCGTCTCCCGGTGCCGCAGCTGTTCGAAGGCCGCCAGCAGTTGCCGCTCAGTGATGAGGTCGGCCACAGACTTGCCTTCTGCAAGGGACAGGCGGTGTGTGTGGGGGAGAGGGGGCAGCGGTGAATGGGGCCGCTCGAGGACCTCGTCAGGAACTAAGGATCAGGCTTCGGTGGGCGTCTCGGCCCTGCCTCAAACCCCCAGATCCTAGTTGAAGGCCTGCTCCAGGAAAGGCAGCCGCAACTGCTGGGAGCCCTCCCTCGGGATCACCTTGGAAGGGGGAGGTCCCAGGCCTCAAGCTTGGGGGAAAACAGCAATTTGGATTAACACAGGGGTTTGGGGTGCAGCTTCAAGTCTGCCAGCAGTGCCCAGCCCCTGGCTCCCCACCCCCACCCGGGCTCTGCTGAGCTGGACCTGGTGGCCTCATGTGCAGCCCTTACTGGAGGTCTAATGGGGTGAGAGCTCAGGCTGGGCGTGCCTGGGCCCAGGCTCCTGCCCCAGGGCCAGCCTTCGCTGCTGGCTGGCTCCACTCTTGGGAAGCCCCCACCTGCACCCTCGCTTAGGGCCCACCTCGAATGCTTCCCCCTTTGGGCAGCCCCTCTGACCTCCCTCCAGGCAGCCATTGCCTGTGCACCCTCTGTGACCCTGTGGTCAGAGGCCAGTGCCTTGTCCATCCCCAAGCTTGGCCAGGAACCCAGGCATCATGCACCAGCTCCTGGAGCCGATGGGCGTGGAAGGCTAGGGTTCTGGTGTCCTGCAGACCTGGGTTCAAATCCCATCTCATTCATTTCCCAGCTGTGAGGCTTGAGGCAACTCACTTAGCCTCTCTACGCCTCACTTTTCTCATCTGTCCAATGGGTGCGCCCCTCCCTGAGATTTTAGAATTTCAACAGCAGTTGTACCAGTAACTTGGGATGGGAGTAGGGGTAGGGAAAGAGGGCCTGTCAGAAAGCTGGGGACGAGCAAACACAGCCAGCCCATCTCCCGCTAGCCACTGTCTGGCCTCAGATTCCACCCATGCTCAGTGTTGCTTGTGAGGTCCTCACCTGCGTCGATTTTCAGTTCCTCAGGCCCCACCCAAGTGGATGCCCGCTGGCTGACACCATCCATGCCCCTCGAGGGCACCTCAGGGCTATGGGCCGCCCCTGGCACGGCGGGGGTCTGGGGCCCGTCACCAGCCACGCCCTCCTCCAGGGTGCGTCGGAAGGACCGGAACAGGGATCGAGAGCTGTGCCCAAGCAGGTTGGGATTCTCAAGGACCCGGGCCCGTTGGCTCACCCGGGTGAAGGCCCGCCGCAAGGTGCCCAGGCCAGGCCACGCAGCATCCTCGTATTGGGTGCTGGGAGCATCCCCACTGCTCACCCGCCGGGCGCCCCGTGCTGGTGTCTGCTGTTCAGCCGGCTCCTTCAGGCTCTGCAGCTCCGGTCCAGGGGTCACTGTCTGTGGTGATGGCATCTTGGTGGCAGAAGAGCTGGGAGTGAGAAGGAGGCTCAGGAGGCCTGGGCGGGGCGGTGGGGGGGGGTGTTGCTAGTCCTGGGAGGCAGACACAGAAACCCAGGAACGAGAGCCCTGTGAGGCCTGGCCAGGCCAAGGGGGAGGTGACCCTCAGGCCACCTTCTTTGTGCCGGGCCTCAACTGGATGCTGAGACATAGCCACTTCCATTGGATGCCTTCCTGGACACCTCCCTACCAGCCCTAGAGGTCCCCGCATGCGCAGCCCTTACTCGGCCTGCCAGGCCAGACCCTCCCCATCAGAATCAGAGTGGAGCGTTAAGCGTGCAAGCTCTGGGGCCCAGCCCAAACCCCGGCTGGCAGCCGCCTCCCCTCTGAGACTTCCAGGACTTTTAGGTCCTGAGGCCTGGAATGTCTGCCCCCCACTCCAGTCCCTTGCCACCCTCCAGAACCCCCAGCTCACCCTCAATTCAACCAAACAGGCCTGACTGCTTCCGCTTGGAAGGGTGCCCAGGGGCCCCACAGGCATCCACCCCCTTCCCAGGGGCCCTCAGAGCTGGAGGCAGGTCCGGCCTGAGGGCAGAGTCCAAGGCCAGCCAGTGGCTTATCATGGTCGTACAGGCCACAGGAGAGGCTGCGGGAGGGGCTGCAGGTCTATATTTAACCGGGGGAGGGGGGTGGAGGGGTTCCCAACGCTGCTTCGCAACCCCCGCCATCCCCCCTACGCTGTGCCCTGACCCCTCCCCGACAGGGTGCTGAGCCGGGTCTGCCCCTGCCCCTCCAGACTCCCCCCGTGGCTCCACCCACCCACTCTCCAGCTGGAGAAGCGCTGGCTGTGTTTGCTCTTCTGGCTTCTGGTTAAGCCGGGGGTGGGAGAGACAAGGAAACCTTCGCAACCTGCTCCTGCCCACCCCATTGTGCAGACTGGGCCACTGGGGGCTGGGTGAACAGATTAAGCCAGCAAGGTCCCATTTTACCCTTAGAGAAACTGAGGCCCAAAGAAGGGCTAGACCTACTGAAGCCCCCAGCCAAGCAGAGGCAAAGCTCCCAGCCCACCCCAGGACTCCCTCCCTGCCCCACCCCCCACCCCCCGCCAGATACCAAGACCAAGCCCAGGCTTGAGCCAGCACCTGACCCCAGCAACACTGGGCAGGGGCTGCCTGAAGCCTCAGCTTCCCTGGAGTGGAACGACACTGTGACAGGCAGTCCCAGACAGACCCTCACCGCCCCCACACCTTCTGGCAGGGTCTGTCTGGGTCCTCGTAGTCCTACCTTCCTTGGGGCTCCTGGGACAGCTGGAAGGAGGCCCTGCTGAGGGAGGGCAGCCCAGGTGATTGATGAGGCCTTAAGGGCCCCGCCCTGGCCACGGGTCATCCTCCTCCCCTGGCGCCTCCTGACGCTGCCCCAACTCAGCCCTGACCCACACATGGTAGGAACACAGTCCCTGAAGCTGACCACACAGCACCCCTCCTCTCTGGTGCCCCTCTGAGCGCCAGGCACGGGGGCTGCACCCACATGCACAGGGGCGGGAGTGGTGATGAAGAGACCTTTCCAGCCTAGGCTGGCCCTCCCTGTCCGCTCTCCTGTGCAGGTGGTGGAGGCAATGACAAGGGGAAAGGACAGCCGGGCCCTGCCTTGCTTGGGAAGCACTCACACTTAGTAAGTACCTGCTGTGTGCCTAGCCCGACGCCTGGCACAGATCCCCGTAACACTGGTTACAGGGATGTCATTCACCCCATTTCATAGATGAGGAAACTGAGGCTCAGAGAAGGGTAGGACCTTGCCTCAGGCCACACAGCTCAGGTGTGGGGAGCCTGCAGCAAGTCCAGTTCTGTCTGGAAACCTGAGAGCAAAGACTAGCCTGTGTTTCCCTGAGGAAGGAGGCTTCCAGATGCCAGGAGAGGAGTCAGGGGGGCTTGAAGTCCTCTCCCAAGAAGCCCAGAGACAGATTCCGGGGTAAGGGGACACAGCTGGCTGGGGGGGGTCCCATGGGACATTATACAGGCCTGGGCCTGGGCCCCCTGTCTGCTCAACCACCCTGGCCCCAGAGCTGCACTGAAAGGCCACCAAGGCCCCAGACAGCCCCTTGGCCTCCAGCCACACCACTCCTGACCCTACTCCCAGCAGCCTCCCAACCATCCTTGACTTTCCCAAAGCCCATGTCCAGATGGGCCACTCCTGAGTCCAGCCCCTCCATGGCTCCCCCTGCCCTGAGGCCAAGCATCGAAGCCCCCTTCCTGAACCCACTTTCTCCAGCTCCCCTCGGACCCTGAGATGTGCAGCCACAGCCAAGCCACAGGCCTCCTCTGTCCCCTGCATCCCTCTGTCCTCCTCCCTTCCCCTCAGGCCACCCCCTCCCGGCCTGCTTTCCTTCCTCCTCAAATCTAACCTGGGTCAGACTGTTACATCACCTGCCCCCACCATCTGTTTGTTCAGCAGGCATGCAGGTCCCTGGTGATGTGACCCCTGCACTGGCCTGGGAGTCTGTCCACCCCCTCCCCATCACCCCAGAGCCCAGCCTGGAAGAGGGTGAACCATCCAGATTTGCCTGGGATGGTGCCTCCCGGTGAATCCAGGGGGCCTCTCTAGCAGGCCAGCTGGCTGTCTCTGTCTCTCTGTCCCCATTGCCCTGAATGTCCCAGAAGCCCTGAGCTCAGAATTGGCAGAGCTTCAAGGCCCTGGAGACCCAGGCCCAGCTGCGTCAGGGCCAGGGATGAGGACACCACCCAAAAGCCACAGTCATTGGGAACTCCCACCCTGGACCACCCCAGCGGTGGCCAAGAAGTCAGGCCTGGAGAAGGCAGGAAGTGGTGGCTGGAGCAACAAAAAGAGGCTGTCCCAGGTGCCACCCTTGCTCTCCCTAGCCCCCCAGCCTCAGCTTCCACCCCCTCTGTCTAGCCCTTCCCTCCTGCTGCAGCCCCTTCGGTGCCCACTCCACCGGATCCCTCCACCCACCCTGGGCCTGGACCACCGCCCCATCCTTCCAAGTGCATAACTATCCCCCGTGGAGCTCTTTGTAAGGGTACCGGATGCGAATTGCACCTAGCCAGCAGCTGCAGTTACTGCAGTTCTGTTTACTTCTAAACGATGTTTCCCATGGCCAAAAACACACTAAGTCGTCTTCAGGTTTGAAGCATTCAGCAAACAATGGCAAGGCAGTGCCACCAAAAACGTGTGCCTGATTTCCATGACAAATATGGTAAAGCTGTATTAGCTAATGGAGCTACTGTCTATGTTGCTGTCTGGACATATACTGCAACACACATTGGAATAGAATGGAACCTGGTCCCTGGTGGCAGAGTCACCCCAAAGGAATGGAGAGATCAGTATTCAAACCAGCCGGTGGTATAACACTGAATTGTTTCAAAACCAACTTATAATTGATGTCAAGTAAAAGCGCTGTGTGCCTGTGAAAATGCAGCATTATTGAAGAAATAAAGTACATTTGAAACTTAAAAAAAAAAAAACTAGCCCGCGTGGGCAGGGCACTGCCTGTACCCTGGACACTATCCCTGGGAAGACACGTGTCCCCTTCTGGCCCGCCACCGTGCCCTCCAATGTCACCTGACCCCAGCCATAGCCTCCTCACTGCCCTCCTTCCTGAACTCCTGGACCCCATCTCAGAGCCGTCAGGGGTTCTGGCCAGAACAGAAACCTCCCTTGAAACCTTCCACAAAAGTTAGATGTCTTCTGAAAGTCAGGAATGACAAGGATGAGCTTTTCCGCATTTACTATTCAACATTTACCTGGAAGAACTAGTTAACGCAATAAGGCAAATATATATGTATATATATGTATATATATATATGTATAAATACGAAGTAAGAATATTGCGAAGGAACAGGTAAAACTCATTACTTGTGGTGGTATGATTTTTGTTGTTAGGTGCCATGAAGTCAGTTCCAACCCATAGCAACGCTGTGTACAACGGAAGGAAGCACTGCCCGGTCCTGCACCATCCTCACGATCAATCACTGTTACGCTTGAGCCCGTTGTTGCGGCCGCTGCGTCAGTCCGTCTCAGTGAGGGAGAAAGGACTGTCTGCTTAGAAAATCTGAGACTGATGGTTGTTGGAGCTGATAAGAGTTTGGTGAATTTTGTATGTTGGTGATATGAATACAAGACCCAAATACAATCACGTCCTCTCCTAGACCACAGCAACGCCGATTCGCAAAAGGCCTTTAACAGGCTCCCTTTCAAGCTGGCTGAATGGACATGGGGAATCGGGTGGAAAGGAAGAGTGTGCTTTCACAGTACGGGGAGAGCAATTAGGATCACATAACAAGGTATGTATACATTTTTGTATAAGAGACTAACTTGAATCCTCAACTTTCACTTAAAGTACAACAATTAAACTAATAATAATCGTGGTAGGAAATCTAGAATATACGGCAGGCATTTCATGGTCCTCCTTGAAATATGCAATGCTTTGAAATACCTTTCACTAACCAACACAGGTTACCATAGAGTCAGCTCTGACTCAGGGTGGGCGCATGTGTCAGAGCGAAGCTGTGCTCCGTGGGGTTTGCCGTGGCTAATTTTTCAGAAGTAGATTGCCAGGCCTCCCTTTTTTTTTTTTAATTAATATTTTATTGTGTTTTTGGTGAAAGTTTACAGAACAAGATACGTTCCCATTTGATAATTGCCACACAAATTGTTCAGTGACATTTTTTAAATGTAACAATTGTTCAGTTACATTTTTTACAATGTGTCAACATTCTCTTTAAAAAAAAAAAAAGGTTCCCCTTCAGAATAGCCATAAAACATACCACCCTCCCAGTGAAAACGGTTGCATAACTGGAAGAACGTAATCAACGTGACTGAATTGTACGTGTAGAAACGGTTGAATTGGTGTATGTTTTGCTGTGTATATTCGCAACAACAAAATAACAAAACACACCACCCTCCCAGCTGCCAGCATCCTCAGCAGAAGCTCTGAGTCCTTACCCTGGCATTCAAAACCCTTCCTGTCCGACCCCTCTGGCTTCATCTCCCACTCACCA